CTACAAGCACGCCTCTGCAGCGCCGAAAAGAGGCGCAGCGCCCACGGTCCGCTGGGAAATGCAGCTCCTCTACTTCCACCGGGTCTCGGTCCGTCGTTTTATAGGGTCGACTTGGAAACGAAACCCTGGCGTGAACGGGCCGGCCTGAAACTGTACCGAGCCGGAATGCCCCCTGCCCAACTCAGCTTTGTCCTCGGGCTCTCCTTCGCTCCAGGGCCGGAGGAGAGCAATCCTCAAAAGTTCCCTTACTCCCCGTGACCGCTTTCGGATCGTTGCTGTTGCTGAGGCTTCGAGGGAGTAAATAGCTGACTGCTCTCTGACCGATTTGAGTTGTAAAGGCTCCACTCTATTTCAAGAAGTGGTCTGCCTCGCTGCCTGCTCCCCTCCTCCTGTGGGCTGGGTCCTGGAGGTGGGGGATGGCAGCGTCCAAGGGCCCCCCAGTCTTAAGATCCTTTAGTCTGAGTCCTAGGAAGCACTTTCTCTGAATGGGGGCTCAGCAGGACCTTCAGGTGCCTCAACTTCGTGTGTTTTTAACAGCTGCATTTGGTACTTGGGTAAAATCAACAGGCAATAAATCACACACTCTTAAATTCTACCCGTTGGTAAGCTTTGACATGTATATATACTCACTAGAGGCCTGTGTCAGTGTCACCAGTTTGTGTCTGTCTAGGAATGTGCCCATTTCATATAAATTATCTAATTTGTTGGCATAGGATTCCTCTATAATCCTCTTTATTTGTGTTGTAGTAAATTTAGTAATTTGAGTTCTCTATTTTTTTTTCTTGGTCAGTCTAGGTAAAGTTTTGTCTATTTTGAAGATCGTTTCAAAGCATCAACTTTTGGTCATGTTGATTTGCTCTATTGTTTTTCTATTTTCAATTTCGTTCATTTCCATTCTAATCTTTTCTTCTTCTACTTTTTGGGGATTTACACTTCCTTTTCTAAGGTGGAAAGTTTCTTAAGGTGGAAAAAACCTAATGGCTGTTGATTTGAGATTTTTAATGTAGCCATTCAAAGATATAAATTTCCCTTTAGACAGAGCTTAACTGCATTCCATGAATTTTGGTATGTTTTCATTTTCATTTATCTCAAAGTACTTTCTAATTTCCCTAGTGATTTATTTATTTGATCCATTGATTTTTTTTAGGGCTGTATTTTTATTTTCCAAATATTTATGATTTTCCCAAACTTCTGTTAATGATTTCTAACTTATTCCATTGTGGTCAGATAACAGATGTAGTATGATTTTGATCATTTTAAATTTACTGAGGCGTGTTTGTGGTTTGGCATATGGTTCATTCCAGGGAATGTTCCATGTGCACTTGAGAAAAATGTATATTGTTAGGTGGAGAGTTCTATAGATATCTGTCAGATCTAGTTGTTTATAGTGTTTGCTATTTTCTTGTTGATATTCTGACTAGGTGTTTTATCTATTTTTGAAAATGGAGGATTGAAAGTTCCAACTAATATTGTTGAATTGTCTATGTCTCTCTTCAGTTCTGCCAGCTTTTGCTTTCTGTGTCTTTGGGCTCTGTTGCTAGGTGCATTATGTTATAACTAGTGGCCCGGTGCATGGATTCATTGAAAGGAAATTAATTAGAAGAGATATTTTAATATCACTATTCGTCCTTTCTCTGTAATGGAAGTGTCAACCAAATTCACGATCAACAACGACAGATTGAAACACACACGTTTATTTTTAAATTGCCAGTGCGCATCATATGTACTGCCGGTCGGTCGTTTGGATGGTAGGACATACATACAGTTGGTCACTTAGCTTTTTATATATATAGATAATATTGCATTTTATGGCTATACCACATTTTGTTTATCCATTTGTCAATTAATAGACATTTTGATTATTTCTACTTTTTGGCTATCTTACCTAATAATAGACAAACATGCAAATTGACCATACCTTCGCTATGCCCACCAGCCAATTGGCTGAGTATGCAAATTAACCAAACAAAGATGGTGGTTAATTTGCATACATTGGCGCCCAGCGGCAATTGGAGCCTGCAATCAGAGCTGAGGGGTCCCCTGCCCAGGCCTAATGCCTTGAGGAGTTAGGCCTGGGCAGGGGTGGAGCCGG